TTATTACCTTGTTCAAGCAGCTCGATTTTATCAAGATCTTCCTCAACACTAACAGGTTGTTATAAATTTTTATTTCGAAGCCAATCTTGAAGACACACTAGGAGTTAATGAACTCCCAAATGAATCAAGAAGAAGTCCTCCAGTACTAAACGCACATTCGGATGCCACACTTGAAACCGGAACAACTAATACATCACGAGCCATCTCTGCAAGAACAGGAAATCTAGCTGAGTTTAATTTCCACCAGAGAAGAACATCAAATTCTTTAGTGTCATCCTCAGTTTCTTCCCCAAAATATTTATCCAACTCTGTTCTAGTATCAACACCTTCACTCCCACTTTTATATTTTTTTATATCTCGCATGAGTGATTCTAAAAGTCCTGTATTTTGGGTGCTTACTTGACTTCCAGAAAGCCCGGAAGTATAAGTGTCCAATGAAGAACAATCTGAAGATGAAGCAAGCACGACACCTTTTGAGCTCGACTTTACATACTCACTAAATAATGAAGTCATGTACTTTGTTACTTCTGCTTGTATAGTTGCCTCCGGATCTACACCAAACATCTTTACAACTGTGATTGTGAAGTTCTTATTTTTCCCCCACTCATGTAAGCACCTACCGATACCATTTGCTATATCTTCGCCTTTATGACTAACAATAGGACAAAAATTAATTATTTTCTTATGCATATTCCATTCACTATCAATCCAATGGGCAGTGATACACATATAATTGATTCTTTGTATAGAAGTCTAGGTATCAATGGTAATACATACTCTTTGTTTCGTTTCTATAAAAGACCTCTTCAATTTTCACTTTTCTTCATTAAAAAGATAAAAACAATCCCTAGTTACAGTATTACGGGAAGGGATCCGAAAATAAGGTTGCGCTACTTTCATAAAGTCTCTAAAACCTTCTTTCTCAACAAAGCTGAAAGGAAGCTCATCAACTATTACCATACGACCTAACGCCTTCCTACACTCTTCTTGATCAAATTTTCAAGTAACAACAGATACGTCACCTTGACTACCCCCCGGAACAGATTGAAAGCCTAAATTTGATTGTTTTTTATCAACTATAGCAGGGCATTTAGGAAACTTATACATATGAGAAAGAAGTGTCGACGTACCGTCTTTGGTCTTAAAAAAATACTCAATAAAGCAATAGTCACATTTTGCTTTTGTACTCCCTTCGAAAGTAATAATTTTTGTAAAATGATCCCACACAATAGACCTTTTTTCCTATTTTTGGTTATATTTGATTCTGTTGTTTCAGCTTGACTTATTGCATTTGAATTAGAAGCCCCACTTTCACCCATCACCTTATCACTTTGTATATTTTCAGCCATGCTATGAGTCACTCCAACAAGAAAAGAAAAGCAATGAAAATAACAAGTTGCTTAACGGATATTTAAACAGAAACTGTTAAAATCGATCTCAAAATAGCACAAGGCAGAGAGGGCAATGGTTGGAATGTTAATTTTAGAAGAAATCTCAGTGATTGGAGATCCGTGAAATGGCAGAATACTTTAAGATGTCTCTGATTTTAAGAAACTTACCATCTGCTGCTCTAGCTATGGCGACAGGGAGAGGCAAGATGATGAGTCAGCGAGATGGAGAGGCGAGTCAGCGAGAGGGAGACAGCGAGTCTGAGAGACCGCGAGTCTACTGTTGAGCTGCTCTGGCCGCTGGGTGAAATTTTGACTTTAAGTTAACGATATTAGGCTGTTAGGGTATCTAATAGGTTTTCTTTCTAAATGTCTAATAGAGAATTAGAGATAGAGTACTGGAAGTGGAAGAAGGGATTTTTATTATTTTATTTAATATATATATGGATAAAAATAATTTATATATATATATATTCTTAACGGGTTAACGGATTATCCGTTAAGAAAATTGAATAATTCGCCCCCAAACCGATAAGCCGTTAATAAAAAAATTTCAATCCGTTCCCCGTCCGTTAAACCGCTAAACCGATACCAATAAGCCATTAAGCTTTGGTTTCGGTTCGGTTTTCGGTTTCGGTTCGGTTTTGATGCTCTGTGTTAGTTACAAAAGATAACGAAGAATCTTGTCACATGGAAATAACTCATTGACTCTTGTTTTAATTAATATTTTTTCTTTTCTTTTAAGAGTATAAAAATAAAAATACTAGCTAAACATTTTAAAATCAAGAACATATAATTTTTTTGTGATTTTTAATTTTCTTAAAATAACACCTATAAAGGTGAAATAAAGCTAAAATATCAAGATTAAACTTAAAAGATATTTAAATGCTAAAAAGTGATGAAAAGAGTTAAATATGGTATAAAATTAGGTGCTCACAAATCTCATACTACCACGTGTTTAGTTTCTCTCTTTTTCAATTCAATATATCTATCTATTTATATTTATTTATACTATATTAAAAGTACAAAACCCCTTAACGAAATGTCGTTCGCCTTTTTTACCCTTTAAAAATAGATTTCACCATTAGACAAAATAGTCGTTTACCTAAGTTCCTAATATTTAGGACTTTAAAATTAACTAAAATTTTGGCTATTAAGTCTTTCCTTATTGGAACTATATAATACAACTCATGATATTTAGAAAGTTAAAGCCACATATAATTTAACTTATATAAATACATTCCTAATTTCGGCAAATTAAAATAACCATTAGCCCGTCATTTATGTTTCTTCCATATATAATAAATTGATCTCAACTCCAAAACAGTTTACTCTCTCACATACATTAGATAGACATATTGCTCACTTTATAATTATGATTATATTTCTTCCTAAAGACACTTACAAGCCTAAACATTTATGAAACTAATAGTATAAAACAAAGCCAAAATTTTATTTATTGGAAATCAACAGAGGATTTTGATATTGGAAACATAGAATACAGAATATTTTTGAAAACTACCGTGAGATTTGGTTGCTTATTATATGTTAATTTTGAAAAAAATATATTCTGAAAGTATTAAAATAAATATAGAAGTTCTAGAAATAAACCGAACAAAAAGTAAAAGTATATAAGGTACCTAATAATCTAAAACTTTATAAAGTAATTTATATGAAGTTAATTACCACAAAGTTGAGTTAGCAGATAATTACCAAAATTTTATTTATTGGAAATCAACATAGGATTTTGATATTGGAAACATAGAATACAGAATATTTTTGAAAACTACCGTGAGATTTGGTTGCTTATTATATGTTAATTTTGAAAAAAT